TGCAAGCTGGAGTATATGGGACTCCAAGTGCCCTTTTTTTGGCCTTTGAAGTCCTATATAACTGTGATGGTTGAAAACAGACTTTACAGTTTCCACCTGAGTTGAGATGGGGGACAGACCAAATTTACACATTGTGCTGGTACTGCCAACACAGCAAGCTGGATGCCTGACACAGTCCAGTGATATGCAAACTCAGGCAGAACGTTTAGAAGCAGAGAGTCCTTTTCACTGTATCTCAAGATGGCAACTGAAACATGATCAAAGAGCAAGGTCAAGACCAGGAATACAGTAAACAAGGGACAAATCCAAAGGAAATGACTAGAGGCACAGTGAAGTGGAATTCAGAGTTCATAGAAAGATAAACACCACAGAGCTGATGCTTGGAACATTTCTTTCAGCATGTTCTCTCAGGGAATGTGGACAATCAATAAACCAACTTGAACTTCTACACAATACCGCGATGTGGAATGCCAATGGAAATTCTCAATGATCCAGGTCATGGTTGTCCCAAAGATCCTTTTTTTAAAGGCAACTGGACTTTCGGGGGTGGGGGAGGTTTGAAGACATTTCACTTCTCATCCAAGAAGTGTTGTCTTTAAAAAAAACCCAGAAAGTCCAGTTCCTCTTAAAAAGCACCTTTGGGACATAGTTGTGGAAGTTTATTCTTCACCATTGGCTCTTCCATTGGTTTACTTTTTGCAAGTCTCTCCGTTCTATAAAGTTCTGCTCTCTAGTTTGGCTAGATCAATCTGAAATGCTGTGATTAGGTGCAGGCAAGGGGCCCTGGGAATTTTCTGGGACTGTCTCAACTGGAGTAGACTAATTAGTTCCACTACTACCTGAAAAATCCACACCAAAATTCTTTTCTCTAGATGTCTTTGCCTCTCCATCCTCCTCATCAACCAGGCTGTGACAATAAATCTCCAAATATAACAGCTTAAAAATGAAAGCCTTCCAAATTCCAGCCTCCAAAATACTCAGCCCTGCTCTCCTTGTGTCCCTTATTTCTTCAATTACCGTGATAATTACAGCCTTGGATATAAAATAAATTTTTATCCTTGCCTTACTGGATAAGTCACCATAAACCAAAAATGAGGAAGGCATTGAAAATTGTTTAGTTTATAAAATTTTCACTTATGCCTGAAGAAAACATATAAATGGTATTAATTTTCAGTTCTTTGGTATCCAAGTTAGAGCTATAGTTTCTTAAATAATGATAGGTACTCACTTGGAAATCAGAAATATAAATTTTCCATTGTTTAGCTTTACCATTGGCTGGAATTAGTAATACATCATAGTGGCTCTCCGTGCCCACCAAGGGACAATGAAATGAATACTCTGCAGGACCATAGATAGTAGAGACATTAAATTTAGCAGGTTCATCTTCAGCATCCATATTATCTTGCAGAATATGAATAAAATCTAAAGTGAACCATTCCTTTGAAGAGCTAGTGTAAAACATGTTCGTCATCAAGAATCTAGAGAAGAACAAAACATGGGAAAGAGTCATTCTGAGATCATCGTAGAAGAAGAATCAAAAGCATCAGAAAGTAAGATTACATACAGATACACTTGACACATTTGGAGGTGAAAACCCAACATTCTTCTCAACTGGGCAACCACAGTTATACCTCATGGATGAAAGGTAGGGCATTATATTCATAGAAGGGATCAAATGACACACACATACACACAGAGAGAGACAGGGATATGTGAGAAATAATAACCAGATCAACTTTTAGTCTTATTATTTAAAATCTATGTCCGACAGCTAATTGATGTTTCATTGTTTTGTTTTGTTTTACTTTTTAAGGTTTGTCCATGTAAAACTGCTTACTTCCTAGTAAAATGTGTGGATGAAAAAAGGTCTCAAAATGTCTATTAGCACCACTGATTTTGTTTGACGTTGACAAATAGATTCCAAGGATTTTTTGTTCTTTTAAATATACACTCATAAAAATTATAGACAATTGGATTTGGCTAATTTTTTCAATGAGGTAGAGGGCACTCCACAAAAGAGGTATGCTTATTATCTTTTTTGGGGGGGAGGTTTTTATTATCTAGAAAAGGGGACTTCTGGAAGAACATTGTTACTTTCATTGAAAGATAAAAATATGTACACCTGAGTGTGGCAGCAGTATATCTCTGAATATGTTCCCACACATCAAAAATTGGATCACAAAAACAGTGTAGGAAATTAACTTCTTTCATAGACTTAAGGGGACCTTGGAGATTAATTAATAAAGGACTTTGCTAGGCTATTGTAGTCTGTCCAGGAATACCAAAATGTTGGCACTGGTTTTCATTTTCTCATTTTTCAGTTTTTGTCTTCCTAGCTTATGTTCAATATAATAGCCAGTCAACTTCAGCTTCTTCCTTTGTCTTCATTAGTCATTGGGATAACAGAAACAGACAAGATTCAAGAATTATTCCCCAGCATTTCCAGTTCAAAAATGAAGAAGACAGTTGGAAGAAGTCTCCAGTTGGGTCTAAGGCTACTAAATCTGAGCTGTAAAAGTTTAGTTGATTACTAGATGACAGGTGTTTAGAGCAGTGTTTTTTCCCGCTTAGATACAGTAAACCTATTTCCTAAATTGAAATCCTGAAAGTTCTTGTTATTTAGAGAAATAGCATTAGAATGAACCTCTAAAGTAGTTTGTGCTGCTTTAGGAAAGCATCTTATATTCCTATAAGTATGAATTTCCTTTCACAATTCAACTGTGGCAACATTTCCCCTCTTCTAAGCTTTAGGAATATTTGTCTGATGGAGTTGGAAGCCCATGTAATAATCTAAGAAATAATTTAAATAAGGGAAAGATTGTATAAGTGTGTCTAATCAGAAGGATTTCTGCAATAGCTGCAAGATAAACATGGGGTTTCCATCAATATTAATGTTGTAGCTTGGCCTGCTTGCAGCTCACAATTTTTATTGTAACTTAACATTTTCTTATGAAGTTTTTTTTAAAAATCATACTTCTTGAATTCGATATTACTTGCAAGTGTTTCATTAGCTGGTCTGCCAGAGGCTGTTCTACTGGAAAATATCACGGTTGCATTTTAACATTGCTAAATGTTGTGGTCTCTTGGCTGCCTTGTTAATAATAGTGTCCTGAACCATGTGGCAAAAGATTTAAGTTTTCTTAATTTAAATTCATTGTCTGTGTTATTCTATTTATTCATTCCCAAGATAGTCTTTATTATTTGTTGTAAATTGCTTTCCAGTCATTCCAGTTTGACCTCAATAGCGAACTGTATTTTCCCTACAGTGCTGTCCAATTGATTTGTTAAGCCATTAGTTTAGGCAGGATTGAAGACTCAGAATGTGTTCGGCCAACTTCAGGTGAAGGAATTCATTCCTCAGAAGGACCATTTTAAAAAAATGAATAAATATTATCTAGTCCTAGGTCCTAGCTGCACTACTATAGACATAGTCACAATTAGCACTTACACTTTGTGTGTTCATGTCACTTTGATTCTAAAACANCCAGAAAGTCCAGTTCCTCTTAAAAAGCACCTTTGGGACATAGTTGTGGAAGTTTATTCTTCAGCATTGGCTCTTCTATTGGTTTACTTTTTGCAAATCTCTCCATTCTATAAAGTTCTGCTCTCTAGTTTGGCTAGATCAATCTGAAATGCTGTGATTAGGTGCAGGCAAGGGGCCCTGGGAATTTTCTGGGACTGCCTCAACTGGAGTGGACTAATTAGTTCCACTACTACCTGAAAAATCCACACCAAAATTCTTTTCTCTAGATGTCTTTGCCTCTCCATCCTCCTCATCAACCAGGCTGTGACAATAAATCTCCAAATATAACAGCTTAAAAATGAAAGCCTTCCAAATTCCAGCCTCCAAAATACTCAGCCCTGCTCTCCTTGTGTCCCTTATTTCTTCAATTACCGTGATAATTACAGCCTTGGATATAAAATAAATTTTTATCCTTGCCTTACTGGATAAGTCACCATAAGCCAAAAATGAGGAAGGCATTGAAAATTGTTTAGTTTATAAAATTTTCACTTATGCCTGAAGAAAACATATAAATGGTATTAATTTTCAGTTCTTTGGTATCCAAGTTAGAGCTATAGTTTCTTAAATAATGATAGGTACTCACTTGGAAATCAGAAATATAAATTTTCCATTGTTTAGCTTTACCATTGGCTGGAATTAGTAATACATCATAGTGGCTCTCCGTGCCCACCAAGGGACAATGAAATGAATACTCTGCAGGACCATAGATAGTAGAGACATTAAATTTAGCAGGTTCATCTTCAGCATCCATATTATCTTGCAGAATATGAATAAAATCTAAAGTGAACCATTCCTTTGAAGAGCTAGTGTAAAACATGTTCGTCATCAAGAATCTAGAGAAGAACAAAACATGGCAAAGAGTCATTCTGAGATCATCGTAGAAGAAGAATCAAAAGCATCAGAAAGTAAGATTACATACAGATACACTTGACACATTTGGAGGTGAAAACCCAACATTCTTCTCAACTGGGCAACCACAGTTAT